TATTCCAAATGCCTAGTTCCCATTAAGGATTCAAAGAAACTTCTCCCAACTAAGCCAAACCTGAACTACCACATAAAAGCATGTCATGCCAATACACTCACCAAGTATGAAGAAGTTCAAATAGTAGCAGTGTAGACATATAAAACTACATCTACAAAACGGGACTGCTAAGGCAATTCTTAGACTGTGCCCAGTGTGACAGCCTGGCCCTTGGACACAGATCTTCAAGCAGTTGCCATTAAAGAGAAGCAGCAGGAATAGTCATAAAAGGCTAGGAAGTTGATGGAAGACTTTAAAGCAATAAATAGCTCTATCCTTTGCTTACCATATTAATACTTCAGTTTTCCTAGATGCTGCAGGGTCCTAAACCCTCTAATAACCTGTCTCTACAGGCTCTTTTAAATTAATCCTTTAGGTTCACATATTTTAAAATACATGGAAAAAAGAAAAGAAGGAAAAGTGGATGAAGGATGCTCCACAACAAATATCTACATCAACCTCAATGTATATTTATTGCTTTTAGGATCCTAAAACTGCTTGCTGAGACATATTTAATGATCTAATTCTTAATATTTAATAGCCTAGCTAGAAACAGACACTATTCAGCAACTTCTCTTGAGGTTAAAAGAAACATATGAGCAGATCCTAGTAATTCCAGTATCCCAAATGACTGTAGCAGCCCACTGAAACTTCAAAACTGCCCATTTGAAACTTGAAATCTCTTCAAATCAGAGGTTCCTAAATAGCAGTGCAGATGCTCTCTCAGTGTGAATTATTTTATATATAATCTAGCTGTGGCTATCTTGCTTGATGGGTTCTGTTACAATAACATGTCAGGCTTGACTTCCTAGCAAGAGAAGGGTACCTCAAAACATTTGTTTGTATGGAAACAACTGCTGGGCTACACAATGCTGTGCTAAACATGATTTTCCCTTTTGTTTCTGTCATAAAAAAGGACAGAGCTATTTAACACATACAAAGAACATCCTTAAAAACAGTAGTAAATTCCCTCTTTCTGAAATAAGCCTTTAAAGAGTCACAAGAGAGGACCCAAGCCAGAAATGCAATAATCCACAGAGTAATAAGAAGGCTGGGAAATAAACAATTACAGTTGGTTTATGATCAGCCTCTGAAGTGCCCTTGGGTATCTACAATTATATATCATAATTCTCACCAGCCACTTAATAGGGTTTACTTCCCCTTTGTTGGTGTGCAGGACCTGGAGCATGTAGAAGATGACAGCCTAGATTTAATCACATTTTTATTTTGTATCAAAATTTAGCATCACCTCTCCCTAGACTCTAACTCACACTGCCCTCGGCAGCACCCAATGGACTGAGTCATTTAATAAGCCCTCGGTGACCTCTCCTGGCAATCATTTATTTCCTTCAGTTTTACAAAACACATCTCGGGGCATTCCTCCTGTACTCTCAAATTGCAAATCACTGCAGGAACAGACAGCAACTGCTCATAACCAGAGTGGCTTCAACATACTCATAACCTGGAACAAAAAAGCAAGGCAGTGGGTGCTGCAGGTCTGGGCCTAACAAACCCAGACTGAGGCAGGAAAATGTTCCTGTATCTGCAGCTCAGCAGGTCACTCTCCCAACAGCTCCCTATGTCCATGCCCCTCTACTCATCTGAAGGGATCAGGACCAAAACCACTTAAAGATTAAAACCAGCACCTCACTTTCCCTGTGGGATTCCACAACACACGGCTGCAGCCTATTAAGAGCTAGGGCCAAGTGTTCCTAGTCACATCTTGTACTCACGGCAGCTTTGTGCATTCATTGCGACTTCTAATGGTCTTCCCGAGGGTCCCAGAGCACAGTCTTGCACTTCTTATGCCAGAACAGTATAACCCTGAGGGCCTACAGACCTCCTCAGAACTACCTACCCTGCATTAGGGACAGCTACGTATCCCTGCTATCTACAAAGCCACTCTTGATGTTACAGCAGGTGGAACAAAAGGCAGGAAAGTGATTAAAAGCCCTCAAGGATAATCAGCTCTCATCCATGCAGATGAGAAGAGAGCCTCAAGAAGATGTTTTAGAGAGAAAAAAAAAATTGCTGCACTTTGTCAAGAAGATAATATGAAGACTCTGTTGTGCAGTCTTAAGGAGCTGCTGGATGCAACCTCCCCATTAATAGAAAGATGGGCAAGGGCTCTGCTAGCCAGACAGCTTACCAGCCGTGTGACCAGAAAGACGCGAGCCATAAAAGTCAGTAGTGGAGAGGGGCAAAGAGGACGGCAGGAACCCTCTTAAGAACCAAGCTACGGACACCCTCATCAGCCTGAAAGACCCCGGGAAGAAGAGCTCTGCTTTACAGTCTCAACCGTAGGGGCACAGTCAAAATCCTCCCCCACAATAAACCACATGATTATTATAATAATGTTTTTGTAGGAAATGATCACCACATGGCCTTTTGTTTTCAAGTCCAATTTAATAGAAATCCTGATACTACCCGAGATCAGAGGGGAAGTGTATAAATAAAGAAACAGACAAACTTTACCAATGCGTGTGCATGTAAATATACAAAAGTGCAAGAGCAGCAGGAAAAATGCTCTTTCCTGAGAAGGGTCCTGCACAGGGCACAGCTTTGAGCTGCACAACCCACCCCGGCAGCCCCCCAGGAGCTGAAGACCTGGGCCGACTGCCAGGTGCCTGCACCACTTAGCAGTACAAGCGCCAGACAGGCCTTGGAGCAGAGCTCCTCAGCCTTGATTGTTAATATATCAACGTTTCCTTTGGAAAGAAGCCAGAGACTCCCAATCTTGAATTATAACATCTTTAAAAGCTTTTTCAAGCATAGAAAAGCAACACTTAAGTAGAGCCAGCCAGAGACGCAAGTAATTAAGAAATATGGTCGTTAGTAGCTGTCAGAAGGATTGTAAGATGGCTCCCAGTGCAAGAATTTCCCAGAAAAACAAGGCCTCTGGAAGAGGCAGTTCATAACAGTTCATCTAAGGATGACCCATTTCCTAATCGCAGCAGCAAATGAACACAGAAGTGTAAAAGAAAATAAAGGCCATGGCCCCCTGTGCAAGAGATTGAAAGTCAAAAGAAACCGCACCTGACAGAAACAGAAAGCCAACTTATGTAAACCAACGCCTGCGAGTCCCTGATAAGCTTGAGGAAATACAAAAAGCAGCAAAATTCTCCAGGGATCCTGCAAGAACGGAGGCACAGGAGGCTGGCGCAGCCTGTGATCCTATGGGTTCCTGGGACATCCAAATCATGAACTGCCCTTAAACCTGGCTTTAAGTGGACACTCAGCATGAGGACAGAGCTTTCTAAAGCACAACTGGCTTACTCTGGATTTCATATTTATGTAACTTCTCCTATTTGCTCTTGCAGAACATTAGCAGCTACTAATGGGCTCCAGTGGCCTCATGATGCACCAAAGCAAAAGTAGATCAAGAAGACAAATGAGCTGGGAGAGAGGGTATTCTCTAAAGCATTCTCCAAAAGGAAGTGATCCCACTAAGCAGATTCTAATAGATTTAAGGCAAAGAGCCCTGATCTCTTAAAAGCAGGTTACAAAGAAGCCAATTTGAACATTGTAAATTAAGGGTGGGAAAGGAGTATTTTATAATAAAGTTAAAAATTAACAAACCCTAGGCATGTCCTTTTAATATAAAGAAACATTACAACTTCTCCTCTCCACAACTCATTTTTTGCCCTAAGAGAAAAAGCTGACTTTGTGCTAACTCTGCACTGAATTTTATTTACTGCTAGATGTTGTAATTGTCCTGTCATTGCTGAAGAACTATCTGATCTCTAGGAGTAACAGGATTTTCTGCCCTCTTATTTAAAGGTTCAAACACACAAGGTGACTAGATTTTCGATGCCAAGGAGGACCTGTCACAGGAAAGCCCACAAGACAGTTTAACTGGAAGTAAGAGAAGCTTTCAGAGAGGAACTAAAGGTAGCAGGTAACTACCTGCAGGTACATCAAATTTTGCTGTTGCTGGGAGGGGAAGAAAGGAGAAGGGAGAAGGGGGAAAAAAAAAAGAAAAAAAAAGAAAAAGAAAAAGAAAATCACATCTCTTCATCTCATAAAGTCTCTTTATTCAACCTGGAGGACATCTGCCTTCT